AAAAAAAAAAAAAAAAAAAGGTGGCTACTTCAGTTTGCCGCTCAAACCCAAGAGCTTTTCCTCCAGACAATTACCACAATTCATTATGCAGAAATACTTTATGCACACTCCCATTAATCACATGGAATATTAAAAAATGTAAGTATGTATACTCAAGGATTGAGATTTAATAAAGTCAGTAATTTTTAATGCTTCATGAAGGGCATTTGTAAGTGAAATTGGCTTTTTTTCCCCAAAGTGCAAATGTGAAAAATACAACTAATACAGTTGGTGCTTTTCCTTGATTTGTATTAAGGTGCCAGCAGTTTTATCTACCATTGCTTTTGCATCATCAGTGCAAATGTCAACACAGTGGAAAAGAAAAATGTCTTAGATCATTATGAAAATAGTTTTGCCCACATGGATTCCCTGAAAGGAGACATCAAGTGATCTTTAGACCATAGTTCAAGAGCTGCTGGCACATGTAAATATTCTTAGCTGAGCAATGTTCTGTACTATGATTGTTTCTTTTCTTTGTTTTTGTTATTCTGGAGGCTAATATTTGCTTTATTTCTTTAGTTTTGTTTATACTTTTTGCTAATTCTTCTACATGTATACATATTTCTCAGTTTTTACAAAGTCAGCTATACCAGATACTCTCTTTTTTTCCCCTTGGCCATATCCTTCTAGGAGCTAGTGATCCTCTTGTCCAGGCCTATTACACAGCTAGCACTGTGGAGCTTTTCTTTACCTTTCTTTCTTCCTGAGTTTGAGTTCCTGTTTCTTAGATATCTTGTCATCTTCTTTGGGTTTATGACGTTTTGATGAAGCATATCTTTCAGGACTTTTTATGGGTTTTAGAGGTTGTACAAAGGAATGGAGCATCAGGTCATGACAGCCCTTAAAATGCCCTCTATGCCTGGTACATGGTAGTAATCCTAGGGCTTCTGAATAATGATATTTACTGTTGTCCGTGTGATTTCCTGTACCTCTGTGTTAGGGTCTGTTTTCTAGAACTGATGTCTTCCTCTTTATGATTATGCGCTAATGTTGATGGAAGGCCTCTTCAAATAGTTACCTGAGGAAACATACATGATACACTTTTTTAGTCTTCATATGTTTGAAAATGCCTTTTACTCTCAAAATTATAATTTTGATGGATATAGAATTCCTAACTGAGAATAATTTCCATTCAGAATTTTGCAAGCATTGCTCCATTATCATCTTTCTTCTTTTATTATAAAATTCATCATACACATAGAACAATTCATAAAACATATGTATGGCTTAATAAATATAAAACAAATCTTTGTAATCTCCATGCATGTCAAAAAGTAGAATATTGAGGCACTTCAGTAGCTGCCCATGTTTCTCTCTCCAGTCACAACTCAGCCCTTCCCTTGACTTTTGGTTAATCATTCCCTTGTTTTCTTTATAGTTTTTCCATCTATATATGTATCACTAAATGATATAGTTTATTTTTGCCAGTTGTTTACTTTGTCAGTGGAATCATACT